TGAGGTCAACAGTGCCACGGCACTGCAACGGGCAGCGAGGCTGGATGGGACACCTCGGGAGCTGCGGCGGGGACCTCAGTGGGCCAGGTTTGAGGTTTAGGGTTTAGGGTATAGGGTTTGGGGTTTAAGGTTTAGGGTTCATGGTTTAGGGTTTGGGGTTTAGGGTTGTGTGCGAGTCCAGATTGCAAAAAAGGGTTTAGGGTTCAGGGAATTTTGAGCTTATCAGGGCCAGAATATTGGTAGTCTTGTGCCCCTTTATTCGGGTTTTGGGTTATGCTATACATTATAGTCACGCGCTTAGGCCTCAGAATTGATTCAAATAGGCGGCATACATAGCCCAGTTTAAACAGAGTGTGAAGGAATATTGTAGGTGTGTATTTGAAGATCTCGAAGTTGGTGGTAGTGCTGAATTAGGGAGAATAACGTTAATATGCAATGGAAACTGGCTTTATGTAGTGGTCCTGCGGATCGTATGTAGCAGGCTGAATGGTTGGAATCGGGTGTTGGGCCATTTCATATTCCTTACAATGAAGGGAAGGATGTTGGACTGTTTTCAGGCTTTTACATTTTCGAGGCCAGCAGTCTTTGTTTGCCTTGCACCTATGATCTACTTGCAATTGCCCAAGCATCAGTATAAGTGAATTCGAAGTACCATGGGCCGCCAAATTGGGGAATTTGATGTTTTAGGGGGGAAAGTCATAATCCGCCCCCTCCTGGAGATAGAGGAATCCAGAGAGCAAGCGAGGCGTAGGTAGGGGTGACTCGAACTACTTTGTAGCTTGGGCAGGCAACTGCCAGTGGGCTGCGGGGGAAGCTTGTGCGGAAACTGTACACGCTGTACCAGGAAGCATGGAACTCTGAGCATGCTGCTCGCCCAGGATCGCAAACCCCAATCACTCTCAACCTTTCTCAACCCAAACACAAAATCAACTTGCAGCCCAAGCCGATGGAACAAGGATCCGCCAGCTTGAACCTTGCAACCGCTGGCTCGAACTCAAAAACCCAAATTTTTAAGAATCACATGCTAAACCTAATTGAACAGGAGCTCGAAAAATTGGATGGAAATGGGGACTAAGTCAGCAAGCGCTTCGTGAGGCCATTACTGGACCTGTACCAGCCTTACCAAGAGCCGGCGCGCGCTTTCCGTCAGGGTTTTGTGTGGAGGTTGCCAGGATATCCAGGACTTTCAAATCTCAAACATACTTTCGACACTTCTTGTGCTACGGGGATGCGTTTCCCGAGTGGGCGGTTTTCCTGACTCCTATTTGCCAACAAGTAAGGTGCCTCCAAGATATTGGTATAAAGCGGAGCTTCTTTGAATCCAGAGCGGGCGGTCTTGACGGTTCACACGACAATCGCCCTCAATTGTAAACCCTAAACCTACGCTGTAAACCCTGGACCCTAAGACTTTAAGACGTAAGCCATACTGTAATTCCTACACCCTAAATTGTGAACCCTACTGTAATCCCGAGACTAAAGCGAAAAACCCTACGAGAAGTCGATTCTGATCCAAGACCTGAGGCCCAAACCTGATCAGCCTTCGACCTTGAGCTCTTGCTTACCCGTACTCTCAGTAGTCTGCAGTATTATGAGCTGAACGCTGTTACTAGTAGTCTTACTAGTCTGGTTTTGTGTTGTTCGTACAATGATAGCAATCATCAACATACTATTGCTAATAGTAGTAATGATTATCACTATTACTTTTTGTCAGAGCTCTTGAATCTCCTACATATCATGCAAGCCATACTTTGCAGGCAGTATAGTAAACTTCACATCGTTAATCCCTAACCCATGCTCCCCCTACACCTTATGCTCGACCCAGAGGCCTAAACCCTAAATCCTAAACCCTAATCCCAAAACCCAAAAGACTAAACCCTAAATCCAAAACCCTAAACCACAGACAAGCTCGCTCAGGGTCCGGCTTCATCTCCCGCTTTTCAAGCCCTATAATCTTGCAACTGCACGGGCCCTGGGGGGCCTACGCCAGCTTACTGTTGATACTTAGAGGTTCCGGGCACTTATAACCCAACCACAAACAAATTATGGGCTTCAGGGTGTTTATCAGTGGGTAATAAGCACAGACTGTGGGTGTTATCATAGCTCTGAGCCTCCAAGTAGAGGAAATCTTGAACCAGGGGCAGGGCTTCCTGGATCAACAGCAGTATGGGGGGTTACCATTGCATACGAGGCCCCAGTGAAGACCCAAACATATCATAATCCTTATTGCAGGGACTCCCAAAAAGGGACCCTGAATTTTGGAGGCCTCCTCATATGCTAGAGGGTCAAAGGGGTTTATGCGGTTTACCATTGAGAGGTTGAACCTCCGGGGCTCAGCCAGATGGTCTCACATTTTGGGGGCTTCTTGTTTCTTTGGTTAGTCTCATGTTTGGGGTATGCTTTTTTTTTTTGACCTGAGACCCTAGAAGAAGTCGCATCCTGAGAGGAATGTTCTTGCGTGTCTCAGGCAGTGATAGAGGAGTTTGGCGTGCAGGGGGTTAGTTCTAGGGCCTGCATTGCAATTTTAAACCCTAAACCACTAAATCCAAAACCCTAAACCCTAAATAGTAGTTTCCATTTCCTTTTCCATTCTTCCAATGTAACCCCCAGATTTTGCCCAATGAAACAGGGGCGGGCCTCATGTGAACAACTTGTTGACAAGAACTGCTGGGTAACGTGCCACGTTGAAACTTTAAGAGTTACTTCTAAGAACCCCTTATTAGACGCTTTGTATAATTCTAGTACAATCCAGGCCACAACCCTGCTCCAATCATTTATGATTTAGGATCTAGGGTTTAGGGCTATGGCGTGTAGCTTGTCCTTCATTGGAGACATCTAGAGCTTTTTCTGTAGGAGGCTATCTTGTCTTTTAACCCACTGGAGGAATTGGGGGCTTTGGCACAACCTATTGTATCCAACGTTGCTGAGTCCTGTCATTAACTGGTTGCTGTTAAGGAACTTAAATTCAGTTACCATAATGTGTATATATATAGAGTAGTTAAATAGCTAGAATTAAGTTCCTTAACAGCAACCCAGATTAAGGCATCTTGGTCTTTTGCTCGGTTGCAGCTGGATGACCGGCACTTGTCCTGACCCCAGAAGGGTCTCTGGTTTCGGGTTTGCTGTTGTGTTTTGACTGGGCAGGGAAAACCAGGTTATGACAGAGAAGATCATACAGTCTCTCATGCTTACTACATCACGCTAGTGTTTCGCAACATGCCTGCCTAGTCTGTAGATTCGAGGAGGGGATCTCGCTGCATGTGTGCCTCTGGGAGGCTGCAATCATTGTGGACAGACCCTAGGGAGCTGCCATGTTGAATGTTCTAAGAGAAGCTTGACCCGTAACAGTGACTTATTGCAGCCAGAACTTTCACTGCGTTCAGTGAGCACTTGGAGTGGATCGGGTGCTGCCAGATGACACATGTGAGACTTGGAATGGCCGATGTAGGCATTGCTTGCCAGAGAACCAATGTTTCCAGCGTGATAGTCCCGATGCGAGCCCCAGCCCAAAAGAGCCGGATCATGTCCCCATCTCCAGCATCCGGCCTTTCTTCAACCCCCCCCCCTCCCAAAGGTGCCCCTGTTTTGAGAACCTCCCCCATAGAGACAGCATCCAGCAGATGATCGCAATGGCACGGGTCTTGTCAGCCTTACTGTGGATGGCATGGTCCGCAAAGGGCGCCATATTGCTGACTGGCTACAACCCTTGGGCCAACTTTAGCGAGCCTGGGCTGAGGATTTATCAATGTAGAAGCCCGAAAGAGTGATGGATTAGGTGTGTAAGGGATAACAATAAGGATTGTGTTGGGGTCTTATATTGCTATTACCACTATTACAGGGCGGAGGGTCCTCCTAAGTTATGGATATGAGTGTGCTAGATTCCTTGTATGACTATGATATAGGGTATCTCAAAACCAGGGTTCGACTGTAAATACAAGGTTTTGCGTTCGGCACCCGGAAAGTGCGGTGATCTGGAGAACAAGCCCGTGCTGTTGATATTAAAATCCTGCATGACCTTAGTATATAAGAATACCATAATGCACGGGGATCAAGATACTTAGGGTCATGCAGGGTTTTTAGCGTCCTCTGTCTTGCATGGTTCTCATAGCAATCTCGTCGACCCGTTCTTATAGATTTCCGGCGAAGTACTTACCACAATGCAGGCAAGCAGAGGGAGAGCCTTCATGTTGTCGATATTGCCCACCGAAACCATCATGTGGTCACCACAGATCCCTCAATAATGTGATAAGCCATCCCTCATTCTAGATTACTTCCCCATGCCATCCTTCAGAACCTCTTTTGCTGGATTCCACCGTACGTCCTAAGCCCTGAATCTGTGTTTGTTCCATCCATCTTCAGTCATGTTCAGGAGAATCCCTCTGGTGAAGTGGCTTCAGCCCTGAACGGCAGCATCGTGCAACAGCTCCGGGTGCACAGCATTCGGGTGGACGCAAGCCGGGCATGTTTTCGCTTGTTTGCAATTCCGTGCTTTTGCAGGGGGGTCCTGCAGGTAGAGTTTAGATTGTATTTGCACGAGACTTCTGCGTACTTGATTAGCCATAGAGCCGACTTCAAGACGTCTGCAGAACAATTATTTCAAGTACGTGTGATGTGGACTTTCTGAGACGACCGCGTCTCGAGATGGGGGTCCCCAATGACCGGCCCAGCAAGATGCAACGTCGAGCTGAGCGTCAGACGTAGTGAGGAGTCTGGTACACACTACAAAGCCCCCATAGCATCTGTGACGTTGTACATAACCCCAGAAGACCTTGCAAAAAGCCTCATAAACGCTTATGTCTCAGACCTACTCGCAACACAGCATATCTGCGGGTAAGCGGACAAAGATGTCGACCATCCTGATCAGCTTAAGATCCCACAGAGGCAGCCCCATCATCCCCGTACATATGCCTGGGGTCAATCTAAACCCAAAACCCAAACCCAAACCATGATCCCTAAGCCCCAAACCCGAAAGAACGAACCCGAAACATCAGCTACATGTGGAGGTGAACGAGGTTGGGGTCCTAGAGGCCCAGGAATTTGTGGAGCTTGAAGCATGGGATGCCATCGTCCATCTGGGCTTTGAGGACGAGGCTTGCAGAGTTGTTTATTTTCCGGTTCATAGGTTGAGGGTTTAGGGGGGCCAGTACTACGTCCTGCAGCCCGGGCATGACCTCAGAAACTTGTTGCATGCTACACGCGAAGTTCAAACCACACAGCTGGCAAGATCAAAGCCATCCCATATTCCACGCAGCTAAACCTTCTGTTCCGTGATCCAACTTCTCCGTGGTAGAAATTCACGGAAGTTAGGCCTCCCTATGCTTACCTTCGGTTAGCTGGGAATGAAGCAATGGAAAGGCAAATGGACACTACTATAACGGGTTATATAGGGATTAGGAATTAGGGTTTAGGACGAGCGAAAAAGAACATGGAAACTATTAAAACGGGTTATATAGGGACTACTACAAGGATCTATTCCTTCATTCCGAGCTAGCCAAAGTGTAAGTAAATGTATGTTCGCTGCTACGGCGCGTCTTTAGAGATTCAAGATTCAACGGGGCTAGAGGACTGATGCACGAGTTCCATGTGATTGATAGGGGCTAGGGCTGCGACCATACTGTCACGGGACCTTTCCTGAAACGGCTCTTAATCCTGAGGCCAAAGGACTGAAGCTGGAGACCATGGCAGCCAATGTGCGTGCCTTGAAGAGGGGCAGAGCCTCTGCTTTTTCTGGAAATGTTCGCTGTTCACAAAGAAAGGGTGTTCTTTGAAGGGTTTCTCACGTGGGCACGCTACTTGTTTAGTATGCTGTAGCAACTAACGTCTTTTCTGATTTGAGCTTCACCGTTAGGTTAGGGGTTATTGTTGAGTCACACCAGAACGACTGGCCTCAGCGTAATATCAGCAAATTCTTTGGATAGAGAGCCTAGAGAGCCAATCCCAGCTTCGGCATGGCAGACCTGCCCTGCACCCCAAAACTTTCTAGTCCCCCTTAATTAGATCGAATATGGGGTATATGGGGACCTTTTCTATATTATACCCACAGCCATATTCTGTCTACTAAGTTGGGACTAGAATTGTGCGTCTTAATATCAGCAAAAAGGTTGTTGGGGCGTTTGCTTTCTTTTCGCGTTCCCTGAGCCGCAGCCTACAGCCACCTCAACTCACAGAGTAGTTCTCCGCTGTATACACTTCAGCTTCACGAAGCCCCAAACCTAAACCCTAAACCTCAAAACCCTTAACCTCAAATCCTGAACCCCTAAACCATCCTAAACCCTAAGCCCTTGAACCCCAAACTGCATTTGAGCTATAGTCTAAACTCCTAGTATCCCCCATAGTAACCCCTAGAGTAGTATCCTATATATTCCCCCATATAATCCCCCTTCAAGGAGTTTAGACTGTACTACATTTAGAGCAGAGGAGTTGTGGTGGGCGGTCCGCAGCTGCTGCCCACCACGGGCGATTTGGGAGCCGTGGCCTTGAACACGCAAAACCCCCATGAGCTCTGGAGTCGAGACCCCTGGCTTGGGTTTAGGGGTTCAGGGGGTTTAGGGATCTAAGGTTTTAGGGATTTAGGGTTTAGGGTTTTACAGTCCAGGGTTTTGGAGTTCGGGGATTGCGAGCTTCAGTTTTAGGGTTTGGAGATTGGAGTTTGAGGTTTGCCATGTAGCGTTTGGGGGTGCTGAGTCAGATTCAACTCCGGAGTCAAGATATCTTGAGAGCATAATACGCATGAGAAAGCGAAAGTTGTGAGAGTGAATCAGGGCATCATCCTTCGTTTTCTGTGCCTTACCCAAACCCTAAACCCTGAACCCTAAACCTTAAACCCTGAACCCTACACTAAACTCTGAACCCTTAACCCTAGACCCTGAACCCTAAGCCCTGAGCCCTAGACCTTGAACCCTGAACCCTAAACCCTAAACCAACAGGATGCCGGAGACTTCTTCTGTAACGAGATCTACTACCGCACCCTCTTCTCCATCAGGGAGCACCGTCGACTGCGCTGTCCGGGCGCCCTGATTCCCAGCATCTTCATCCATGTCCCGCCCCTGCACAAGATGCCGCTCCAGGAATCTTAGATGTAGTTTGCTTAGGTTTGAGTGTTTCGGGTGTAGGGAGATACAAGTATTACACATGGATATATAGGGTTTAGGGATATAAGCCCAAAACATGGAGAATCAAATGGAAAAGACTATGGAAAGTGGCATGGTAACTTTAGCTCCGTGTCAAGGGGGTGTATACGGTATATAGGGGCATGATGGAGAGGAAACGAACTGGAAATAAAAAATCGTGGTGTGCAGGGATTAGGGTCTCCAAAGATTCAGAGTCCCTTGTTTTGTGGCTTCCTATAACAAGGGAAATAGTTTTTGGAGTCTAGATTGGGTTTCCAAACCCTAAACAACCCTAAACCCTAAACCTCGGCATCTTCGTCGGGCCTTAGAGACTCAGAGTCGGTTTCGTGTGAGGATTTCAGAAACTACAGGGGCCTGAACAATCAGCATTGTTCTGGTTCCAGGTTCTCTAGAATTCGGGAATGGTGTTGGTAATTTATACTTACTGATTTCGGAACCGAAACCCTAATCACTAAGCCCTAAACCCTAAATCCTAAGCCCAAAACCCTAGGGCCCTAGGCCTTAAACCCGGTTTCTGACTCCAGGAGTCTTCCGCTTTCGTGCGGTCGCTACTGGGCGACCTTGTCAAAGCCTCCGGCTGCCCAGCAGAAGCGGGCCGGCCAGCCGCGCAAGCTGCAGCCGGGTTGCCTTTTAGGACCTTGAAAAAGCCATAATCTTAATTCTCAAAGGGGGCTAGATAAGGGATTGTTTCTTAGGGCTTGTTGAGGGGAATATTAAGGATACTAGGAATGGGTCACTTCGGCTCAAATTAAGTTACCATATTAAGGGTATATTGTAAAACATAGGATTTCCTTATTGTAGTAACTTGGTTCGAGTTCCTTAGCAGCAACTCAGGTAGATGGATTGAGGCGCTGGTGGCACATTTACGGCTAGTGAGCCGCTGGACACTCCTGAGCCTGCCAGACAAAAGTCTCGATCAGTAAGAGTAAGACATATCAACATTGACAGTTGCAAGAATAGAGTTCAACGCATCTTGAATAGCTACTACAGACTGTTGATCATAGTTTTGCTGCAGTTGTTGCCGCTCCTGGCATGCCTAAATGGGTGCCACGAAGCTGAAAGATTCAATGCGCCCTTGCTTTGTAAGGTGTTCAGGGTTTTCATCGTCACGCTCCATTTCTTGGGGCAGAATACAGAAATTATGGCTCAAACCGAAACATTGAAATATCAAACTAGCGCCTTCTTTAGGGGTTTCCTTGATGCTCATCATAAGTACCATGCCACTCTACTTATTATCAGGGGCTGTCTTTAAACTTTGGACTCCGAAGCAGCCGCCGCAGCAAGCAGCCCTGAGTAATCCCTCCCCCTGATATTTCACTCCCCCACCCGCCTAGTAATTATTTAGCACGCCCCGATATTATAGTATATTGGGAATATTTCACATTAGGAGGGGTGGGGGGGGTGTAATATTAGCGGGAGGGCATTCGAAACGCCAAAACTGGGACCGCGCCTTGGCTTCGACTCAAAAGCCTGAAGCCCTAAGCCGTAAGAGCCCCCGGCCTTAAACCCGAAGCTTGGGACCCCTTGTCTCCTTAAAGCTCGCGCCGAACACCGACAGTTCCAAGCCCCGAAGCCCCAAACCAACTAGGCCCAAAACCCTAAACCCCAAAACCCTAAAACCCAAAACCCTGAAACCCTAAGTCCTAAAACCCTACAACCCTAAAACTTAAAACCCTAACCCGCAAAAGGCTGCAATTGCTGGCTGAAACTGTGCAGACACAGCCGAAGCCTCGGCGGCGTCAGGGAGTTATACGGACTATAAAGGGGTGGGTTGAGGGCTTAGGCTTAGCAGTTTAGGCTTTAGGGTTTTTGGCTTGGGGTTTGTGGCTTGGGGGTTTAGCGTCTAGGGTGTGGGGTCCAGTTTCGGGAGTATTGTTGAGGGTTTGGGCAGGTTAGGTCTTTGTGCTTAGGCCAGTCATGTCAGGTGGGGTCGTCCTCAAAGGGGCTTTATGGGGTTTTAGTCCGAGTCCCTTTGAAAGATCATGTTTCAGGATATTTCAGGCTTCAGTAGAAGGCACAGAAATCACTCCCAGCTTCTTGGATTTGGATCATTACTAATTAAAGACTTTGTTTCATCACAGTGTTTAAAGTCATATGCCAGATATTTGGTATTAGGGTACGGAAGGCGTGATATCATAGGAGGCGAGAAGTAGCAGCGGTAACTGCAATTCTGAGGATTCCGGAAGTTCTTGTCATCAATTCTGGTGGAGATGGGTAGCCTTTGCAATGTCACTTGAGAGCGTCAGTGCGTGTAGCAAAGAAGGAAGGAAGCAGTTCAGGAGCTGCCTGTTCCAGGTAGGTTATCATGAGAGAAAAGCATCAGCCCATTTTTGAACTTTTGTCATGAGCATAATGTCCTTACATGGAGAAACCAGGTTCACATGCCCAACGGCTGACTCAACGACCTGTTCGGTGTGGTAGTGAAGAAACTTCTAGAGAGATTTGCGGGCACATGTACCGAAAGGGGTTGCAAGGTTTATATAGGCCCCAGGCTGGTTCATCAGCCTTTGGTGATTACCGTTTATCTGAGGAAACAGGACTTTGGCTTTGCTTGGTTTTAGATTCTTCATAAATGGCCACGCCAGATCTTTTCTTGAGGAGTTGGGCTTCCTTGGCATAGGATTTTCTTCATGGGGGCCCAATTGGCACGGCATCATGGTCAGGTTTCCGACTCTTATGTAACGTCCCCGCCCTGAGCTTTGTTGTTGTTCCGCTGAAGCTTGGCATGCCCGAGCATCAAAGCTTCCCGGATCCGAAGACGTAAGGAAAAGCCCCCCAGACGCAGCAACGCTGGAGTCTTGAATTGGCCTTCAAGACCTCAGCTTTCCATCTTCTGAAGAGGTGCTTAAGTCAAAAAACACCACAAGGTACTCACGCAACACAGAACTTTGCTTGCACGCACTGTTCTTAATCTTGCCCAGTGGTGGTAATCAGAAATTTTGCTCCACAGCGGTATTCTCTGCAACCTTATGCCCCAATAACTGCGCTGCTGTGCAGGCTGGCAGAGTTTGACACGCGACCCATTTCACGCATCGTCTGGGCGTTGGGTGCTGAGTTAATTCTGGCGAGCCATGTGAAGGTTTAAGGTTTATGGCTTTCGGTGTAGGGGTTTTTAGGGTTTAGGGTGCAGGGTTTAGGGTTTAGGGTTGTGGTTTTGGGGTTTATGGCGCAGGTTGCTTTTCTGAACACACGCAGATACGCAGGGGTCCGGGCACTCAGCATTGAGGACAGTTGCGTAGCTGACAATGTGACGAGAACGCAAAGTTTTCAAGGCTTTTGCAACCTTGCTAAGGCTACTAGGACCCTTCAAAATGATGCAGACGCTTGAGATCACCACTCCGCTTCCATCCTTTCCTGGTCTTCCAGTTTCTAGCAATGGCTCTTATAGCGAGAGCTTCTGTGGCGAAGGTGGCAAAGAAGAATTCCCACGAGATATGGTCCAAGATGAATTAGGCTTGCATGTCATCTGTTTACCAACCTGAACTCCAGGCATATGGACGTTGTGACCTTCATGTTTGTCAGTCGCTGCGCCCCATAATTTGGGATTTAGGGGTGGGGCTGCAAAGCGAACCCCGAATCTCATGCGCAGGCGTCGCAGTTAAGGTCATCGTGCCGGGTCTGTGTTCCAGTTGCAAATGATAGATTGACAAACCCTGGCCGAACCCTGAACCCTTTTTCCTAAACCTTATACCCTAGACCATATACATATATACATGTATAATATTTCCCCTCATTCGCTACTAAACCCTAAACCCCAAACTGGGTCCCAAACCCAAAAACCCGAACATTCATGCTGTTGGATCGTGCGTTTACAATTTATGTTTCAGGAGTGACGCCCGCCAATACATCCCTTGTTTCTGGAGTTTGGTCCCGAGCCCCAAAGTCTGAACCCTATAAGCTAGCTTGGGGTTAAGGGGTTAAGGGTTTACTATATAAAGTTAGTCCCGATACAGAACACCTGTATACAACCAACTTTCATTTTATTTTCCATTGTCGTTTCCTGTTGAATGCTCATTGTTAGGATGGCATCTCTAAACCTTCTGAAATCCCCATGTAAATCAAGAGGCCCCTGTGTCCTTATATAACCCCTATAAAGTCCGCCAAAGGGTTCAACAACGGGTTGAGTTCAAAGCCTGGATTTGTTCTCAACTGCGCTCTTCCCTTGTGGATGTCACACAGAGGTAGCTCATAAATCAAGGCATTTGGTATTTTTCTCTAAATAGGGGGACCACATGTAGACGAAAAAATATTATCTTACCGCCAAACGGCAGTAATTTTGGGAAATCACCGTTTCCATTTTGGAGCTCAGACGTTGGAGAAACCAGCATACAACAGGTTTGCCAAGATGCTCGCGCACGGACCCCGGTATTTGGGGTATATTGAGGCTATTTCAGGGTTTTATACGCATAATGGTAAATAAATTGCAAACTATTATTTGAATAGCCATGTTGTTTATTGCTTGCTTGATGAGTGCATTCAGAGGTTGTAGAAACATTGCCAAAACCCAAGTTTGGGGGAGAATGCTTTTGCTGGTTGGAGTCCCTTGGTTTACTGGCAGTCCTGTGCAACGCAACTCAATGAGCTTCTTGAACGCTCAAAAGTCACACCCTCTCAGTAATTTCAGGGGTCTGGGGAGACTTACAGGGACCAATGGCCGTATAGAGTGTTGAGCTACTGCGTAGACTACAAATGGAGCGTCTTCACGAAGATCTTTCAGCTAGATGGCTTCTTGATGGAAATGTCTCCAACCGTGATGCTGGCTGGCCTCGGCGTAACTTCAGGTCTAAAACTTCGACTAGGACCTGACGAGCACACCGTATTTTTCCGGGAGGAAAGAGCACCACGCTGTTTCTACACCTCTGCCTTAAGCAAACACAAAGATGCCTGAATGTTGAATGATTTCTTTGAATGATTTGTATGGGATTGGACTTGGTGTCGTGCTCAGA